TATTTGTCCAGTGGATGTGGTTTTGGCTGTAATTGCCGATGGAGTGAAGTTCGGAAGTTTGTAGATGGTTGGTGCGATTTTTCGCCAGGACGCAGAGTTTAAGATTAAGGGGGGTGGCCTGATTTGCTTGGGTTTGGCTGATGTCGGGATTTGTTGTTCGGATGTTTTGGCTGGTGGAGGTTTAGTAGTCGGGGTGGAGTGTTGGGCGGATTTGTTTGACTCGGTGTCGGAAGAGGAGCAGTTTGACGACATTGTTATTGATGAGTCGGTCGACGGCGTTTGGAGAGGGGGGGGAATCCCTCTGTGGACCTTTTAGGAAGGTGGACGGTGGGGATGGTGAGGCACGTGGACGTCCCTTCTGGAACTCCGGGTGTATGCGCGGGGCCCTTCCGCTTGTTAGCTGTTTTGCCCATGGCAGACCGTAACAACTCAGGGTTAACACTGTAGCTCTGAAAAGAGCGGATTTTCTGGTGGTGTGACGGGTGGGTCTAGTGGGTTTGGTTTGGTCAGGGATGGGATTCTGCGGCAATGAGAGGGCGCGGCCCCTCGACAGATAAACGGTGGGAGGTGGATACCCGTCGCTTTCGCGACGGCTTACCTTGGGCGCTGGTGCCCTGTTGGAGTAGCGGTGAAAACGGCTGTTGATTTGGACTACGACGTCGCTTCCGCGGCGGTTTGAGTGGGCGCTGGTGCCCTGTTGAGAGCCGTGAAAACGGCTGTTGGTGAAGATGTCGCTTCCGCGGCGGCTTGCTGTGGGCGCTGGTGCCCTGTTGAGAGCCGTGAGAACGGCTGTTTAGGTGACTGTTCGGGTGTGAACCGTGGGCGCTGATGCCCTGTGAGAGCGGTGAAAACGGCTGCTTGAGGAGCTGCTGTTGAAGGCTGGCTGCAAGTTGAGTGGTGTTGGACTTGTTCGGATGTGAACTGAAGTATAACTGATAGATGATGATGATTTGGTGAATTGTCCCGGTATATATACTCTTCAATTCACCGTCGACGATTCTGATTGGCTGATGAGGTGCTGTATGACGAGTTAAAACCGCATCGTTTCCTAGTAGTTGCCATTGGTTTAGTGCGGTTTTCCCTCGTCATACTGGTGAAATATATTTCTATAGAATCTAGCTTTTGTTATTACACCCCGCGTGGTTGTGTGTCAGTCTAAGTTGGTGGTGGTCCTAAAAAGGACCATTTTAAGTTATACTCCGTTACAACTCCCCCCCCGGATTAGTGCCCGGGTGGTGTAGCCATCCTGTATTAATCCCTGTCTGTTTGTTGACGGAGTGTGACTGTCCTGGTGTTTGTGTATGGTTCGGGAACATTTTTGTGTTTACTTCCGTTACCCATTGGATCATTGATAGATGTTTCATCCTGTTCTGGTGTCTGGTGTCTTCTTCCGCTAGTCGTGTGTCGGTCCTTACCGCTACGACTGATAATAGTGCGGACAAGTTTTCTTTATTTTCGTTTGCTACTCTATGGCGATGTCTCGCCGCCAAATCTTTTGCCTTGGTTCGTACCCGCATTTTTCAATCTTTTTCTTTACTGCGTTTTGTTGATGTTATTTTTCTTCTCTCGTTTTGTTTTCTTATATATGTTTTTTCCCGGTTATTCTTGTTTTTTGATTCGCTGTTCTGTTTGCCTATTCTTATTGGCTGACTAGAAACCGAGTTTTTCTAGTCGGTACGGTGTTTGATATTTATTGTGATTTGTATTGTGGTTGGATGTATCATCATCAGTTCACATCCGATCAACACAGTGCTGACCACCGCGCCGCCTGACCCGTGCTGCTCGCCGCCACGACGAACGCGACAACGAGCTCACTCATCTTCACCAACCCGATCAACGCTACTACAACTTGACTGTAAGTATTGACTGTAAGTAAAACCATTCTTATCGACCACGAGGCAAGTGCTGCCCGAAACGGGTGCACAACGCCGGGTCCTAACCGGAAAAAATAGTATTAGTAAACCACCAAACATTCCCGTAACCCCTGAAACTACCAACCGCTCGCACAAGCGCAGCGGCTCGTACAGCCATGGGGAGAAAGAGAAAAACGCAGCCACCGTCTTCACCAAAGTACCGTTCACGTTCTCCTCTTCCGAGGAAAACAGGAAAACGCGATGAACCTCTAGATTCTCCAAACACGAAGGAAAAAGCACGTCCAACATCACACCAAAACAAAACAGAAAATGATAAACCAACGTCTGTAGATACTGATCAAGAATCGATATCTGAAATTTCCGATTTATCATCATCAACATCCGACATATCTAAAATTGGCAACCAAACTTCCGAAATAAAAACCACCAAACCAAGTCATCGAATTCCACCAATCTTTATACAAACCAGCCCAGAAATCTCATGGAGAGAACTCGCCAAAGTACTCTACGAAACACCAAACCTCGACCCAGTGATAGCAAAAACCACATCCACCCCTTTCCAAATTCAAATTAACTGTCCAAATGAAAACTCTTTCAGAATTGTCCAAGAATTCATGACCTATAACAAAATTAATTATCACACCTTCGCACTACCTGAAGAGAAATCCCTCAAAATTGCAATTAAAGGCATCCCTCTCGACATTACAAATGAAGAGATCATGGCAGAACTACAACGTATTGGTTTTAAACCCAAATTTGTACGAGCCTTTGAAAAGAACGGTAAAAGATTACCAATTCACATGGTCTCCCTAAACCGTACTGAGAATGTTAAAGAAATCTATGAAGTATCCGACCTTTTCTACATTCGTATAAAAATCGAACCATATAAATCTACAGGACCTGCACAATGTTTTTCCTGTCAACGTTTCGGACATTCCTCTCTGCAATGCGGGTACCCGCCGAGGTGCGTAAAAGGCGGAGCAAACCACTCAAACAAAGACTGCCAAAAACCGAAAGTAGACGATCCAACATGCTGCAATTGTAAAGGAAAGCACACTGCTAACTACAGGGGTTGTCCTTTCTACACAAAAATTATTACCGAAAAAATTGAAAAATCTAGAGACACAAACACTCGAACAATCCTAAAAGCCACACCTCCGACAACTTTAACTCAAACACCAACGACCAAAATACAAGATATCGCCACAACAACAATTTCCTACGCAAAAGCAACATCAAAACAAACAGAAAAACCCGAACCCACCATCAATGCATTAACACTCCTTCGCATTCTTAATGACCTCCTCACAACAGCGCAAAAATGTGTAGATGCTACATCGAAAGACGCAGTCATTTCAACAGCACTAAAAATCATCAACGCCATACCTACAATCCACAATGAATGAACTAAAAATCATTTCATGGAACTGCAATGGCATAAAGAACAAAACACCCGAACTCACAGCTTTCATCAAAGAAAACAAAACAGACATCATCCTACTAGGTGAAACCCACTTGAACCCAAGAGACAAATTAACAATCCCAAACTACTACACGTATAGAACTGATCGACCAAAACCAGCGAATTGCCCTACAACAGGTGGAACGGCCATCCTCATCCGTAGGAACATACCCCACCATTACCTGGTACTTCCAACAGAAATGGATTCTACTTCGATCCAAATAAAACTAAACAACAATACGGCACAAATCACCTCAGTTTACAAAAGCCCTAGAACAAAACTCCACCAAAAAGATTTAGACACTCTAACAAAACACGATGGACCCTTCCTAATAGCTGGTGACCTCAACTCCAAGCACCCGACTTGGAATAGCCGACAAACGAACACATCAGGCAGGAAACTTCTTCAACACTCAGAATCAAACAACTACATCGTCATCGCTCCTGATTCACCGACACACTTTCCTTATAACGGTAAACACCAACCTGACGTTTTAGATATTGCCCTGATAAACCTACCTTCAATTAACTACACGCTGACTAATCACAACGACCTCTCATCAGACCATAACCCAATTCAACTTAACATACAAGCATCGCCGATATCAAGAAATCCCCCGAAGACATCCAACAAAATCAACTGGACAAAATTCAAGAACGAACTCTCGCAAATTAAAATATCCAATGTCCGAACACCACAAGAAATTGACCACAAAATAGATGAACTGACAAATAACATCAAAACACAACTTGAAAACTCAACCTACACCGTCGAACCAAAATTGAATAAATCACACCTTCCCGCCGAAATAACACTTGAAATTGAGACAAAACGACTTCTTAGAAAAATGTGGCAAACTACGAGAGACCCAAAAACGAAGAAACTATACAACGCCCCAATAACATTTGTCAAAAAACTGTTAACTGACCACAGACAATCTGAATGGGACGCCTTCGTACAAACGTTAAACTTTAAAGATAAATCACTATATAAACTCAACCACTGTCTTCTCCACAAGAAACCTGCGAATACCCCACTACAAACCACGCATGGCCGAAAAATATTCGAAGATGACGAAAAAGCAGAGCTGTTTGCTGACACCATGGAGGATCAATTTACAAACAACCCAGGAGAAAACATACAAGAGGCCGTTGATACGTATACGGAAATCAATCGAGACAAGACACCGTCTCAAGAGTTTATCACGCCAAAACAAATTTCGAACATTATAAACAAACTCCCAAACGGAAAGGCACCGTGACACGACAATATAACCAACAAGGCATTGAAGAACCTTCCAAACAACATACTCAACTAGCTCATATATTCACAGCATGTCTTCGGGTAGCCTACTTTCCAAAAACATGGAAAAGAGCTATCATAATCATGATACCTAAACCGGGAAAAAATCACTCCAAACCAGAAAGCCATCGCCCAATATCGCTATTGCCTACCATGTCCAAATTATTCGAAAAACTAGTACTGAAATCACTACAAAAATGTATCAAACCACGACCAGAACAACATGCCTTTAGAGAGGGACACTCGACGACCACCCAACTTGTACAACTGTTCAAAGATTTAAAAAACAACAAATCAGAAAAGAAATACACAGCTGCAACATTTTTGGACATAGAAAAAGCGTTTGACCGTGTGTGGCACATAGGTCTCATCCACAAACTAAATAAGAATACAGATCTACCAAATTACACCGTAAAACTAATCAAATCTTTCCTGACTGGACGTTCCTTTCAGATAAGAGTAGATGACCAACTATCAACAGAAAGAACCATACAAGCAGGGGTACCACAAGGCTCATGCCTATCACCGATACTATACACGCATTACATAAATGATCTCCCTCTTCATCCTCAAGTAAAAACATCAATATTCGCGGATGACACAATGTTCCATGCAGCCCACAGAAACAAAAGGTATGCGATATCCCATCTGCAAAAACAAATCAATCTAACTCTTGACTGGACCGACAAGTGGAGACTAAAAATAAATGCAGCAAAAACGGAATCAATTATCTTCGGAGGAAAACCAACAAAAACTAAAATAACCGTACGAAACCAAACCACAAACTGGAAAAATAAAGTCAAATACCTTGGGATAACTATCGACTCAAAATTACATATGCATCAACATGTAAAAATCGCAACGCAAAAAGCAAAAGGAGCAAGAACATCCCTCTACCCAATATTAAACAATAAATCTCCTATACCGCTAAAAACAAAAATACAAATATACAACATGTATATAAAACCAATTATCCTATACGGCTCAGTTGCGTGGGCGCCACAAATTAGCAAGTCAAGCCTGAAGAAAATGGAGGTCGTACAAAACAC